AGACACAGGATAGCTTCTGGAAGGTCCTAGGTCAATACCCAGTCACCTCAAGGTTTATTCCAAAGGGCTCTTTATACAATGCCAAGAGGCAAGGCAAAAGACCTTCCCCTTTCAAGATCAAAGCACAATGTACAGCCAAGTGTAGACCCTTCAAAACACCTGGTAACCATACGTGTGGCCAAATCATCCCATTATGCAGCCCTGCTGGGTAAAGCAAGCTCAGATTCTGACCTTGAGGAAGGTCTTACTAGGAAGCCTCTTTGGGCCTCCACAGAGAGAATGCAGGGGAGAAGGGTGGAGTCTGAGGAGATGCTATGAGATGCAGAGTGAGCAGGATGTGAAGTAGATAGATGAGGTAAATGAGCCTCAGGCAGCATATAGATTAATAGAAATGGGTTAATTTAAGTTATAAGAGATAGCTAAAGACAAGACTAAGCTATTGGCCAAGCATTTATAATTAATATAAGTGGTTATCTGGGAACTGGCTGGTGGGACAGAAAAGTCCACCTACATTCAGTCTTCTGCTTTAGTCCATTCTACAACATCCCAAGTTCTCCATCACTGAGTAATATTGGCCTGCACAGCCATCACATAATTTGGTTGCTCCTGGCATCATTGGAGAAAATAAGCAACGTCCCTAGGACGATAAAGGTTCAGAAACACTGATACCCCAACAGACACAATACATCAGAGAGTGAACATGTTAACACAGTGAACTATAGCTAACATCAGCTCACTTCTGGATGAAGGATGCTAATGAAACTAAGTCAAGTCTGAAAAATATCCAAGTAAAGCAGAAAGGGTTTATGCATTATCTTAGTCAATATTCTATTGCTGTGAAGAGACACCATGACCACAGCAACTCTTAGAAAATATTTAATTGGGACTGGCTTACAGTTTCAGGGGCTTAGTCTATATGGCAAGGAGCATGGTGACAGGCAGGCAGGCATGGTGCTAGAGTCATAGTAGCTGAGAGTTCTACATCTGATCCACAGGCAGCAGGAATAGAGACTCTGGCCTTGGAATGGGCTTTTTGAAACCTCAAAGTCCACCCCCACTGACACACTTTCTCCAACAAGGCCACACATCCTAATCCTTTCAAATAGTTCCACTCCTTGGTGACCAAGGATTCAAGTCTATGAGCCTATGGGGGCCATTCTCTTTCAAACCACCACATTCCACTGCCTGGTCCTCATAGGCTTGTAGCCATATCTTAATTCAAAATGCATTTAGTCCAACTTCAAAAGTCACCATAGTCTATCACAATCTCAACACTGTTTGAAAGTCCAAAATTCAAACTCTCTTCTGAAACTTAAGGCAACCTCTTAACTGTTACTGCTGTAAAATCAAAATCAAAAAGCAGATCACATACTTCCAACATACAATGGCACAGAACATACTTTACCATTCCAAAGGGGAGGAAAGAGAGCATTCTGAGGAAATCCTGGACTAAAGCAAGACTGAAAATCATCAAGGCAAACAAATTCTGCATCTCCATGTCTGATGGCAAAGAAGTCTTCAGATCTCCAACTCCTTTCAACTTTGTTGACTGCAACATACTTCCCTCGCTCTCTTGGTCTGTTTCCACACAATTAGCAACTCTCCTTGGCAGGTATCCGAGAATTCTAGAATCTCTAACATCTTAGTCTCCAATGAAATCCAGGCTTCACTTAAACCACTTCACACAATGGTCTCTCTGGGCCTCCATTCAGGGACACCCCTAATATATGTCTGGCCTCAGCAGCTTTCCTTCACCTCAGAGAGAGATTCTACAGACCCTTTCTTGTATACTTGACTCTAAAGCCAGAACCACATGGCCAAAGCTACCAAGGTCTTCTGCTTGTTGGTTCCCCTGTTCAAATACATTTCAATAGCTTCCTGGCTTTAATGGTTTCCTTCACTGCTTATGCTTTTTTAACATTACATTTCACAAGTTGGAAGCTCAGGTGGGTGGAGTCTTGTCCTGATCTAGAGAGCAAAGGGCCTTATGCACACAGATAAGCACTGAAGAAGCCAGGAAAGTTAAACACACAGCTCACTTCTTCAAAGGAATAAGGTGGAAGCTGCTCTTCTGGAATGCTAGGAAGGATGTCATTTTACAACCTGGTGATACAACCTGGTGATCCTGTGCTGTCTGATTAGACAGGCTCTTCCTTATCTCCCAGAATTTATTCTTTTACTTATCCAAGACCTTTTTACCTAAATCTTGAACATTGCTTTTAGACCATAAACCCAGTCTTATGAGAGAGGTCACTTGTACTTTATTATAGCCTAAGTGACTTCTATGTTATCTTAGGGTCAGACCAATCCTAACACCCATTATGTTTACCTCAGTCAAATTTCCTAGACCCTAAATCTTGGGCACTATCTCTGAGTTCTTACGAAAGAAGCCAGATGTACTTTGTAAGGAATCTTAATGTAAACATGCCTTGAATTGTTCTGCACTTGGGGCTGAGTTGTTATCTGAATACTTTTTTCAAAATCATGCTGTGCTTAAATATGACTATATTAAAATGATCTGGACCAAACTTAGAAGTTCTGGTCCAGCACTGGCTACAATAAAATTGGGCTGAGCTGAGTTTCATTCTTTTCTCTTCATGGATCGTTCTTTCCCTGTGTGCTGTAAAGCCTGCAGGGGAATCACACTGTAAGGTCACCACTCCCTTTATTCCATTTAGCATCAAACTTTTCTTTAACCTTTTTATCTCTTTGAGCACTGGACTTAGCTGCATTATACTTTCTGATGCTCTTTTTCTCCTCAAACTGTACATGTTGTATTTTTCCTTTCTCAACTTGGTCCATTTCACTATAGATCTGCATAAGATCTCTAATAACCACACAACAATACATTGTCTTGAACTCTCCTCTGCCAATACCATTATTCCAAAATTATTCAATTTAGCCTCAGACAGCTTTTTCAGACAAGGGCAAAAAGCAGCCACATTCTTCACCAACAACAGTTTCTAGGCCACTTACTAATATTCTTCTCCTCTGAAACCTCTTGAGCCAGGCTGTCATAATCTACATCACTCTCCACACCACTGTCTTCCATGATCCTACTTGTATGGCCCATTGAGCCCTGCTTAAAGTGTCCAACTGCTTTTCTAGTCCTAAGTCCCTAAGTCCATATTCCACCAATAAGCAGCATGGTCAGGTCTGTCACAGCACTATCCTACTCCTGGTACCAACTTCTGTCTTACACAGTGTTCTATTACTTTATTAAAATCTTTGGTCATTTGACCAGTGGAAAAATAGCTGGAGTATAAATCAGTTCTACTTTACTGAAACTCTGGCTTTGTTTTGCATTTGAGCCAAAGGGGGGAAAATAGTCTCTTTGTTCCGCACTTTTTTAATTAGCACACTAATTCACCATAAACTTTGACTACTTGTTTATAAATTATTCATTAGCTTTTTTGTATTTGTATTTAGCTTATTCTGTATCTTTTCATAATTCTATAAATAGTATTGACATAAAACAATAAAGGAACTTAAAAGAAAGTTTATTCAGAGCTTAATATGAATGAGGCATCTTTGGCCAGGAGCAAGGATTCACCTTGCTTTGAATGACATGTTCACTGTAGAGGAGGCACTTGAGCTTCTAGAATCACAGAAGAAAAACAGGAGTTATAGCACAATGTATTTGCCAGCTACATTGTAAGGGCATCAGGTGCCTGGGCTACACTAAGGCTGGGTGTCCAGATGTTATATCATTCTTAGCTTTAAGATTGGTGGATCCTTGAGTCTTTGAGGCTTAGTGATCCCATCTATAAAGATTATCTTTTAGAAGAATGTTAGGCCAGATATCAGTGCTGAGGCAAATGTCTATTAAAGGCCCCAAATAATTTTGGTTCTCAGCCTATGTTCCGTCTCTCCACAATAATATTCTAATCATCCAAAGTTATGTTGTTTGCAGAATCTTTAATGTAAACAAAGCTTCATCCAAGAACTGCTGCAGTTCACTCTTATAAAGTATATATTCATATTTACTTTAAATACTTATATAAGTATGTGCCAGTTTCTTTTATTTAAAAAAATTAAGTCAGGTCAGGCACACATCCAGCACTTGGGAGATGTAAGCTTAGGATCAGGAGTTCAAAGTCATCCTCACATACTTACAAAGTTTAAGGCCAATTTGGGCTATGGAAGAATGTGTCTCAGAGAAAAACAGAGAAAAGAAACTATTTAGTCAGCTTTGAATCTTTTATCTCCTTGTTTTAAGTGGCAATTGGTGACAAGAGTTGATACTTAATATAGATAGACAGGCATAGATTACATACTAGATAGATAGATAGATAGATAGATAGATGATAGATTACATACTATGGCACTTAGATTGAAAACTCACTTTCGGGACACTCTTCCAATTCAGCAAATGATTATTACCTTGTCAACAGAACAGGAAGACAATTTTTTCTTTGGCTCAAATGCAAAACAAAGCCGGAGTTTCGTTAAAGTGTCACCGATTTATAGTGCAGCTGTTTTTTCCGTTGGTCAAATAACCAAAGATGTTAACACTGGCTGGACGATTCGGACACATAGCTGAGTATTTTCTAAATGCTAATTGCTCAGTATTTGAGAAAAGTAATAGATGCGGGAGAAACAAACACAGAGCAGAGGCGGGAGCGGCTAGACAAGCCTTTAGCAAAGCTCAAAATCAATAGGCAAGCCTGGGTCTTCACGTGTGCAGGGGTGAGGACATCCCGGCACCATACAGCCCAGCACTCCTCGGCGCTTTCTCTCCAACTGCACCCTAGCCTGGAGCACGAAACTTGTGGACACTCGGGGGCCACAGCCGGGTGTCTGCACGATCCGGCACCCGTAGAACCGCATTTGGGTCCAAGGAGAACGCAAGAACCTGGAGCAAAGGGTTGCGGGATCCGGCGCATGGGAAAGCAATCCGAGGGATTGAAATCCACTTCTCCGCAGTTTCCAGAGGACTCCGCGGGGCCGCTGCGCCCTGTGGTTGGCTGGCCTCCGAGCATGCGCAGTAGTCGCCCGCGGGAGGGGGGGCGGGTGTTGGCGGCTTTGGGAGTCCCCCTGCCGGAAGGGCTTAGTGACCGAGGGGCATGTCGGCCCAGGGCGACTGTGAGTTCCTGGTGCAGCGAGCCCGGGAGCTCGTGCCCCAGGACCTGTGGGCAGCCAAGGCGTGGCTTATCACGGCCCGCAGCCTCTACCCGGCCGACTTCAACATCCAGGTGAGTCAGACCCGACGCGTCCCCACGCGCGGAAGGGAGCGTTTAGCTGAGCAGGGTGGCCCGGGGCGCAGTGCACGGCCGCTCCTCCGTCCCCACGTCGCTCCTACACTGCTCCACATTGCACAGTTGACCATCCTTCTCCCTAGCGCCTGCAAAGGCGGAGACCACACAGGAGATTAGGGCCCAGGCCACTACTCATTCATTGATCATGGTGGTAGCTACCCGTTCAATGCCTGCTGCTCTGAAGCGTTATCCCAGCTGATCCCAGAAGCCCCGCGGATGGAGGGAGCCCAGAGTCCCAGTCCTGAGCTGGGGGATTTGGGGGTATTTTGAGTGAAGGCCCGGCTCTGAGCGGTGCTGCAGGTGGGCTGGAGCTGGATCCGCTACCACGGTGGAAGGTGGTGACCCTGTCTGCCTTGTTTCAGTATGAGATGTACACCATCGAACGGAATGCAGAGAGGACTGCCACTGCGGGGAGGTTGCTGTATGACATGTGAGTTAACTGTTTGGGGATCCTTCCAGGACCTTTTGTCGACATCCTAACGGGGCTCGTCAGAGATCAACAATTGATAGGAGTTGGGACTCTGCATCCCTGGTAGCCAGAACTCTTAATTGCCAACACACCTTCTGCAGAGACGACTTATTCTTGAATCTCCAAATTTGTATTCCGTGGTTTATTTAAGAAATATACGTTCACTACAAGCATTCGGATAGTAATTGATAGAATGAAATGTGAATCCCTTCTGAACCAGGGTGTAAGTTTTGTGTGTATCTGTGCATCTCTATGTAAACACGTCAGTACATTGGGGAGCTGACAGAAGTGAGGGCATTCTGCTCTTACTCTGTTTGTTTTTTGTTTTTTGAGACAGGGTTTCTCTGTGTAGTTTTGGTGCCTGTCCTGGATCTCACTCTGTGGACCAGGCTGGCCTCGAACTCACAGAGATCCACCTGGCTCTGCCTCCCAAGCGCTGGGATTAAAGGCGTGCGCCACCACCGCCCGGCTCTGCTTACTCTGAAACCTGCTTTCATCACCCACTGGGATGGACCCCTCCATGTCTACTTTGTGGAGATGGATGTCGTTCTTCATCCCCATGTAGCACTTCTCAGCCTCCCCTTTCTTGGTGCAGATTTAATTTCCAGTTTTTTTAAATTATGTTTGGAATGTCAGTAATTCTGTACCAGTTTTCTACACTCTCACCAACCTTTATATGAACTTCTCTGTCTCCTTTTCTTTCTCTCCCCCCCCCCCCCTTTTTTTTCTTTTCTTTCTTTCTCTTGAGACAAAGGATTCTCACTTTATTGGCCAGGATGGATTTGAACCCAAAAGACTCACATGCTCCTCCTGTCTTAGACTCCTTTGTAGCTGGGACACAGGCTATACCACCACACCTGGCCTATGTGGGAAAAATCGTATCTTGCTGTATTGTTTCTTAAGTTTGTGTCCCTGATATTACCAACGATGTTGAGTATCACTGCAACTGTACTCCTTGGTTATTTGTGGTCTGTGATTTGCCTTTGTCTTTTTTTTTTTTTAGATAGAGTATTACTTGTATCACTTACTTTTTCCATTGCTGTTATTGATAGAAAGCAACTTAGAAAGGAAGAGTGTATTCTTTCTCTGGGTTTGAGGATACAGTCCATCTTGGTGGGGAAAGCTTGGCAACAGGAGCTGGGTGGCCGGTCACAACGTGCATGCAGAAGATGAACGATGGTTCTCAGCTTGCTTTGTTTTCTTAAGCTTTTTGTTTCTCATCCAGATTGCTGAGGATGACCTTGAACTTCTGATCCTCTTGCCTTTACCTCCCAAATTATAAGCATTCACTACCACATCTGGTTTATGGGGTACAGGGATGGAACCCAAGGCTTTGTGCATGATAAGCAAGCACTCTACAAACAACTGAGCTACATCCCCAGCCCCTCAATTATAAAAAGATGTAAAGACTTTTATGAGTATTCTCAATTACTTTTACTAATAAATTATTTTTGTGTATTTACTTCAGTTTGTTCTGATGTATATAAACATTCACCTAAAGAAAAGTGGTTTTCTCTAAAAGCTAGCATTCTTATTTTGTTGATCTGACATCTTACTTTAATGCATTCATTTTAAAAATAGGTTTGTGAATTTCCCAGACCAGCCGGTGGTGTGGAGAGAAATCAGTATCATAACATCAGCACTGAGGAATGATTCACAGGATAAGCAAACCCAGTTTTTAAGGAGTGAGTATAGTAACAGTTGAATAGTTTATAAATGACCACTTCTGGAATGTCCTATCTGTCACAGACATCTCAGTCACACCTGTCATAGTGGTACCCACATTATGTTTTATTCTAGGCAATGAAAGTCCATAGTGATGTCACTTGGTCCCTTCAGAATTTACTTAGAACACTCTAAGTGTCCCTAGGGGATGGCATTCTGTCATTGGGAGATTGCATTTTGGATATATTTTACAATAACCAGAAAGCATCTATAGATAAACCAGATCTTCACAAATAGGAGAAAAACTTCAAACTTCTGTGTTGGTTACTATAGCCAGTCAAAGACTTATAATTCTAGATAATTAGCAAACAGATGATTTTGGTTATTTCAACTTAAGTAAGCTCATGCCTTTATCTTAGTGTAGCTAGCTCTGTGGTGATAAATCACATGGGTCATCGCTGCCCTCTGGATCATCAGGCCTCCAAATGTTTCATGATTATTCAGCAAACAGCTAAATGCCAAATGCCCTGGAGTTCAGAAGTCTGCTAGTGTGCAGGTGAATTCTGAGTGTTTACAGTTTTATGAATGGAAAATACCTTACTTACTACTTTCAGGTCAACATTTTCTTTGTGGGGGGAAAGAAAAAACAACTTTACAGATGAAATGTTGTTTCCAGGCTTATTTGAAACTCTTCCGGGTCGGGTCCAGTGTGAGATGTTACTGAAGGTGACGGAACAATGCTTCAACACGTTGGAACGATCAGAGATGTTGCTGTTGCTTCTGAGGCGCTTCCCTGAGACAGTGGTGCAACATGGGGTAGGGCTGCCGCTTCCCTTTTCTTTAAGAAAAGACTACAGTTGCTTATCAGGTGATGCCTTGGCACTGATTACACATCTCTAGGAGCTGTCATCTTATCAACCTAAGGTTATAGCCCCCCAAATATTGACAGTGGTGTTCAGTAGAAAGTCGCTTATTTCCATGGTGTTTTTGACAATGCATTCGAGTTTCAGTGAGAGTCAGAGGACTGGCCAGACGGCTCAGTACGTAAAAGTGCTTGCTGCCCGGCCGGACAACCTGAATCCCATCCCTAGGTCCCACGTGATGGGAGAAGGAAACGGATTACAGCAACTTGTCCTCTGGCCTCCACTTGAGTGCCGAGCATATTCTTCTCCCCCATACATAAATAAATCGAAAATAAAGAAACTAAGAGTCATAGTGTATGGTCTTAACAGATAGATTTTCAAATGTTCTGCCCTGCACACCCTGTTGTCCCATCTCTGAATCTGTGAGGACTAGTGAGTGCTGTGGGCGGGTGTTGGTGGGTTGGTGTCAGGTACCCTAGAGAAACCGAGTTCTAACTGTCTAGTAACCTGCTGTAGCCAGTGGGTAGTCGCGATTCGAATGACTGGTTCTTTTTATCCAAAGGCTATTGCTTACCTTTTCCATGTCATCTTTCTGGTGTCTGGCCTAGTTAACTTTTTCCATACTTCCTTGTATTAGTTTTCTACGTCTGTCATTACAGAGCACCAGAAGTGGGGTGTTTTCTCACAGTTCTAAACAAAGGTGTGAGCATTCCCCCTAGAGGCTCTAGGACACCTTCCTTCCAGTGGGTGTCACTCCACTGCTTCACTCCAGGTCTTAACTCTGTTGTTAAAGGGTCCTTTCCTCTACATCTCCGTCTTTACTTCACATTCTTTATGATGCCAGTCACGGCATCTGGCCTACTCTAAAATGACCTCATTTTAACTAATTTTATCTATGTAGATAGACAGTGCTCTTGTTTAAAGGTGAGCTGTGCAGTCATGCAGCCCTTAAACAGATTTTGTCAATAATGGACTGTACATGATAGTGGTCCCATGAGGGCATACTGTCCAGTGACAGCATGGCCATCTTGGTTTGTGATACATACTCTGTGATACTTACAACAGATGCATTCCCTGTTGTAAGCCGTGCATGCCTGTATACAGACACATTCTGAGGTCTTCAGTGGATATGAATTTGGGGGACACAGTTCAGACCTTACATTCTTTGATTGTTGCAGTGGCTTTTAACTTTGTGTGTCCTGTGATCTTTTATGCTGTTCTAACGAGACTACAGTGTTGCGAAGAGAATAAAATAAATGTGTGGGCGGATTTTGTTTAGAGACCTTTTGCTGTGCCAGGACACCAGTGAGGGAAGGTGGCCTTAAAACTCAGACATTATTGCCCAGTGCTTCCCAAACTGTGTGATTATCCACTGGGGACTCTGGAGAGTTAGTGTTGTCCTTGTGTATCTTGACAGGTGTAAAGTTGGTTTCCAGTTTCTTGAAAATCTCTTCAGCGATCATTGTTTGTGCTGTCCCTCCACTGCCGTGCTGGAGTTTCTGTAGACATTTTGTTAGCCCTTTAACTGTGCTAGTTCAGAGGAGAATGAGACCAGAGTGGACAGGTAGTCAGGGAACTTGATCTTCTGGGCAACGTCGCTGATGTACTCTGATGTTTCTAGTCTTTAAAGTGGAATTGTTTGTTTCTTTGAGAAATCTGTGTGACAAATAAGGGACTACTGTTTGTTCCTGCGATTCTGACGTCTCACACTATGCACAGTAAGTGATTTTTGTTTTTAAACAGGTTGGCCTTGGGGAGGCACTGCTAGAAGCTGAGACCATTGAAGAGCAGGAGTCTCCAGTTAACTGCTTTCGAAAGCTATTTGGTAAGAAACACTGCATTTTGTATTATTTCTTTGGGATAAGGAGAGTATCTGGGATTGTCATTTCAGGGGTAAGGTCACTTGTACAAAGCAAAGGAACTCTTTATATTATGAAATTTAATCTTGATTTTACCTACAAAGAATTCAAAAAAATCTATTAATTATGTGTTATTTAACATTTGATACCTCTGATACAATGTGTATAGCATGTGTGTACACATGAATTGTATGTAGTCATGGACACTCCAGCCTCCTCCCAGGGCCAGCAGATCTCTAGCCATGGTGTCAGATCCACAGGCATGTTTCCTCTCTGCCTCCCTCCACTGATTGTATAGCTGGTTTAAGGAGTTGTGCCAGAGCGACTCCCCCTATATTTTAGATGCCACATTCAGTGAACTGGAAGATGAATTAGTTTCTGTCAGAGCTCTCGTACAGACACCTGAACAGTTTGTTTTCTCCTTGCAACAGTTTGTGATGTCCTTCCTCTAATAATTAACAACCATGATGTTCGATTGCCTGCCAACTTGTTATATAAATACTTGAACAAAGCAGCTGAATTTTACATCAACTATGTCACTCGGTCCACACAGTTGGAAAACCAGCATCAAGGTAAGTGGGAGCATCCCACACCTGCTCAGACTGGATTTGCTACAGTCATTCCGAAGTCGCTTGTTACATTGACTGTCCCTCTCTGGATGTGTGCTCGTTTGATAGTTTTCCCGAAAGATGCCTCTAGAAAGAAAAAAAAAGTATATAATTAAGAGTTGAGATTTTTCTGTAATCAGTTCTACCCCTTGATTGAAATAGTCCAGTTCCTAAACATCATACAGGTACTTTGAACAACACACAGGTGCCATAGTTCAGAAGCCACTTTGACCAGCCACCAATCATGGATCCCTGAGCAAAGCAAGCGCAGTCATCTCACACGTGTGCTGTTAGCAGTTTTACTGTATGAACATCGTAGGTATACCAAGCTAGATGGTGTCTCCCACTCATTAAGTCTATATGGTACAGCCTAGTGCCTGTAGATGTAGCAGACTTCCTTGGACCATCATCCCCTAGATCATGACACATAGACTTGTTATTAATTATGAAAGCGCAGTCTTAGCTTAGTCTTGTTTTTAACTAACTCTCACAACTTAACCCATTTCTATTCATCTATGTGCTTCCCTGTGGCTCATGGCTGTTACCTCTCCTCCTGCATGCCCTGCTTCCTCTTTGTCTTCTCTGGTGTCTCTTCAGTGCCTAGATTCATCTCTTCTTTTCTTTCTGTTTGGAAATCCCACCTAACCTCTTCCTGCCTAACTATTGGCCATTCAGCTCTTTATTAGACCAGTCAGAAGGCACCTTGGCAGAGACACATCTTCACAGTGTAAAGGAATAGTCCACAACATTTCCCCCTTTTTGTCTAAATGAAAGAAAAGGTTTTAACTCTTAACACAGTAAAACTGTATACAATAAGAACAATTATCAGGGATTGACCAAATAGAAAGGGAAGGTTATAACTTTAACAAAGTAAAACCATATACAGTGAGAACAATTTTTAAGTAAAAATTACATTTACAATTTCCAGTCCATATGTATTTGGAAAATTTGGAGAAATATCACTTTAGACCTTAAAGCATTTTCTTAGATAAACAACTTAAGCTTTTATGTCTCTCAACATTTTACATTTTACATCTCTTTTGTAAGTTTCTTTTTTGAATTTTGTAACAAAGAAAACTGTAACTGTAACTATTGCACCTCCAACTCTGTCAGAGACCAGAGAAGGATATATTACCTGAGTAAACAGGAAGTGCAGAGCAAACAACTTCCAAAACTAAGAAATGGAAGAGGCATCTGGCTGCCAGGACAGTTTTCCCAAGGTTTCTTCTGTAACATTGGGGCATCCATCTTTGGCCTATAGGCCTAAAATATATGACAGACTTTTCTATGAAGTAGGAATTTGAAGGACTGTCCTACCTTGTCTTGGCAAAGTTTGCCAGTCACTTTCTTTTGTGTCCTGCTTGTCCAGTTTGGACAGCATTCTGTGAGCAGTTGAGGCAAGGACAGTTTCTTTGCCTAGTGGCTAACCTTGCCACAAATGAAGGAAACTCTCTATGGAGTTTCTTCAATGCCTATCATCCTTTCATGAAGTAGTTTGGTGCTGCTAGGGGCAGACATGTCTCATTGTCATGAAAAGCCTTGGGTTATTAAAACATTTTAAATGCCACATTCTGTAGGTCTTTGAAGTGTTTGAAAACCATCTATCTATTTAAAATATATCTCTGTTTGATTTGAAAACATACCTAACATGACTATAAGTTTGATTGTTATAGATGACTAACTATTATCCTGTATTTCTTTATTATCCTAAATAGCTTTTAAGGACTAAAACTTTGCATTGCCTTTTTAAATGAACTGCATAGGTACAATACCTTAAGCAAGAATAGAAACATATATACAGTATAACAAAAATAAACTTAAATTTGTATCAATATACAAAAATCCATACCAATGTAAAATATTTGAGACTAGTGGTTGTTCAAAAATAGACTCAACAATCTACCTTTTTATCCCATCACTTCTATACTGTATCCCCCCATTTTTCCTTCAGAAAGAGATCCCTGAATCTAATCTCCTTTTTCCTTTGTTTAGCTTTCTCCCTGACCATGACCAGTAACAATTTATAACCAACTACCCTAAATGATGACCAACATTCATAACCCACCGAACTACTACCCACCCCACCTCTTGGGAATGTGGGCATCGTGTTCTCTAGACTGCTTCCTGTTGTCTGGAGGTGATGGCATCTTTAGGGAACCCTGAGAAAACTGAGATAATGGTCGAGTCCTGGGAAAAACTAGCCATAACATTTGTTGTCCAGTCACTGTGTAATGGGAAAGTGTAAGGCTTATCTGTGGTCCTGGCTGGAATAGTCAGTGAGGCTGGACCATCTTGACTAACTGCCTTGAAGCTGTTCTGGATGTAGAACTCTGAGGAAACTGCAACAGAGGCGCTCTGAGAGACTAGATCACCTAGGCCACCCATTTTCATTGGTGTCTCATCCCCTTACTCCGAAAACACACACACTTTCAAAGGCAACGTACATATCTGCATTAACACAAGTATGAACTGTGTGTTGTACACAAGCCAGCCAAAGATGAGTTTTTTGTTTTATGTTTGAGCAGGTAAAATATATGTCACCTGTCTTGTAGGATTTTTTTAGGTTTATTTTTTATGTCTGTAGTCAGGAGTTTTAGGGGTCTCTCCCCTGATCAACTCCATTCAGCAATCTCTTTACAGTCCCATGTCTCTCAGCAGCTGTTGTTCACTCATCAGTAATCAAAAATTCCAAGTCAACAGGACACCATATAGGATCCAAACTCCCTGTGTATTTTCCATCTTTACATGGCTTATCCTTTTATATTATTTTATTTTCTCTTTAAAGACTTTATTATTTATCAACTTTTTCTCTGACTGTCTATACCCATTTTCTTTTCGTTGCCAAGCCTGCACACATATTTTAAATCCACTGTAACCTGTTTAGAGTTTTGTTAATTTTTTTTTCCACCTGGATCTGTCTTTACTGAGCACCTGCAGCATTCTCTGACCACTCAAGACAAATCTTAAACTGCCATGTCAGCTGCAGCATGGGTCAGCTTAGCGCATGGCGCTTGCAGCTGGCTCCAGCCCACAGGCAGCAGCCTGTAGCCAGAAGACTGCAGGACGAGGAAGCTACATTCGGCTCCTTGTCCAGAACTTTTCTTAGATTTCTCAGGTCCTGTGTTTGGATATTCGAGCCCCCATGTTGGACGCCATGTTGACATATTCTTCTTTGGGCCACCAGCTCACACACACAAAAATAACACAGAGACTTATTAATAATTATGAAAGCTTGGCCTATAGTTTAGGCTTACACTAGCTCTGATAACTTAAATTAACCCATTTATATTAATCTACATTTTGCCTCATGGCTTTTTACTTCTTTTCCATCATGTTTCCTCTCTGTGTAGATTCATCTCCTCTTTTCTCTCTGCCTGAAAGCCCTGCCTAACCTCTCCCTGCCTAGCTATTGGCCTTTCAGCTCTTTATTAAACCAATCAGAAGGTGCCTTGGCAAGGACACACCTTCACAATGTGAAAGAATATTCTGCAGCACATGGGGTACAAAGGCCCTTGGATTCTTCCAGGTATTAGCTTGTCATAGTCAGCGGAAATCCTGCTTCATATTATTGTGACTTGCAACATAAATGTACCGTGATCTACTCCTAAACTGTCCTCCACCCCCAGGTCCTGTCCTCCTGAGTCTTTAGCCCCCAGCAACACTGCCAGATCCTGCCTGAAGGGCCTGCCTGGGGTGCCTGGGGGACTGTTACCTTCCCAGGACTGTGCTTTTGGTGCTTTGCTGGGATTTTTTTTTTTTTTAAATCCCTGATTTACCTCAAGCATTCATCACACTCTGCTCTAATGAGGACCTTTGGGTGTTGGTGTCTGTTTCTAGACTTTGTGGGGTGTCATTGAGGTTTCTGTGGCCTTCACTGTGAACTGTCCTGGGGTTCTTCTGCAGCTTCATCTTTTCTGTAGCTCTTTACTCCTGGGCGATAGGAGTTTTACAGTTCCCACATGACGTTATAGGCTCCAGTTGTATAAGCAGTGGCATCATTGAGGGGCCCCTTTCAGGGCACTGTGGGACTGATGTGCCAGGGTTGGTACATATCCTTGTGAGTGAGGATTTAGATGTTTGTCTCCTCTATCTAGTGCTATGTAATTAAGTAGTAAAAAATGTAGCTTGCAGTTTTTTGGTTTTTTTTAATATTCCTTTGAGCTTTTTTTTTTCTATTGTGATGTTTTAGGGTCAGTACTTTTGTCTTTTGAATGAAGAGTCAGATTTTTTTTCTCTGATAAGTACCATATAAATAAGTAGTGATATTAATTGTAGGTTACTTTTTCTCACATCTCAGGTGCACAAGATTCATCTGATTTAATGTCGCCCAGCAAACGTAGCTCCCAGAAGTACATAATAGAAGGACTGACTGAGAAGTCATCCCAGATTGTGGACCCTTGGGAGAGGTTGTTTAAGATTCTGAATGTTGTTGGAATGAGATGCGAATGGCAGATGGATAAAGGGAGACGGTAAGGAGTAGTTTATTTCCAGAATTGCTTATTAAATCTTTGGTTGTATCATCTCAGAATCCTTGTAGAAAACAGAACCATTTTTTTTTTAAAAATCAGTATCATGTATAGATACCCTTATTTGGGAGTGGGGATTTTGTAATAGTCACCATTTATGCGAGAGAAGAGGGTACTTCATCTTATCCAAAGATTCCTAACTGAAGGGTAAACTCCTAAAATGGTATTGAGTGGGGCTGGGGAGATTGCTCAATGGATAAGGGTTTGCTGCACAAGTTTGAGGAAGAGGGCTAAAGCTGGGCAGTCGTGCCAGCTGCCTGTAATCCCAGCACTCAGCAGGCAGAGAAGCTGGCCATCTAGACAAGCTTGAATCAGCTTTTTCTGGATTCAGTGAGGGAGAGAGCTCTTTTCTTAATAAATAATGTGGAAAGCAATCAAGAAAGACTTCCGGCATCAACTTCACATGTGCATGCACGTATATGACTCCAGTACCACAATATAGTGTGCCACACACAAATGTGCATAACATACACACACACACACACACACACACACACACACACACACGCACGCACACATTAAAAACAGTAAGACAGTGCTGAGTGTGGTGATACACACGTTTAATCCCAGCATAGGGGAAGCAGAGGCAGGTGGATCTTTTGAGTTTGAGGCCAGGGTCTTCAGAGCAAGTTTCAGGATAGCCAGGGCTTTACAGAGAAACCTTGTCTCAAAAAAAAAAAAAAAGTGAAAAAGAAATAAAAGAAATAAATTTACAAAGAGATGATGTTAAGATCTTGACCCTTTCTTCTTCACACAGAGAAAAGAGAAATTGACTTGGCATGCTTCTGTCTTTAGGTTGTCTGTGTTCTCAGCTCCAGGTCAGAAGGGGAAATTTACCAGTCAAGCAAACAATAACGAATAACTTAATGTGAATAAACATGTCTCAGAAGAACTTAAGTGACTTACCCAATGATGAGAAGATGAGAAGTAATAAACCCTTGGGGTGGAGAAAGCTAACACTGAACTGTTGATAGGGATGTAAATTAGTGCAGCTATTATGCAAAGCAGTGTGCAGGGTCCACAAACTCGACAGTAGCTCTACGTTCTAAGCCAGCTGTCGTTTCCAAGGGGAATTAACATATCAAAGAGACCTCTGTATATTTATGTTCGTTATACTGTTTGCAGTAGCTGTGATATGGAATCAATCTAGATGCCCATGAATGGATAAAGAAAATGTGAGTGTGATGCAGATATATTACAATATTATTCAGCCATAAGGCATCACATTACATCATTTTTGGCAAAATGGATGGGCCTAGATGACGTAAGTGAAGTAAGTCAGACACAGACAAATTCGCCATGATCCCTCTCACGGACATTAATAAATGCCATTTGGAATGTAGAATGGTGATTGTATGAGCCTGTGAATGGTGGTGGGGAGGGAAGTTGTGAAACATTAGCTAACACTATCCATATAACTGTTACAGAGAAATAACTTCTGGTGTTCTACAGAATAAAAGGTGCATGCTGACCCCATAGTTACCTTGTGTGTGGTGCTGAAGATTGAACCCAGCTTCTGCTTATATGGGCCGGTTCTCCACTGCTGAACCACAGCCACAGCCCTATAATAGCTTATTATACATTTAACTCACATAATTTGAATAGAGGAGCTTGAAGTTTCCAAAGTAATGGTATGGAGGCAGAAACTTAATTCCCCTAGGGCCAGGCCTGGTGGCACTCGCCTTTAGTCCTAGCACTCAGGAGGCAGAACAGGTAGATCTCTGTGAGTTTGAGGCCAAGTTGGTCTACATAGTGTGTTCCAGACCAGGACTATAATAGTAAACTCTGTCTCAAAAAGAAACTTAATCACCCTGATTTGATCTGCATATGGTACACATATATTAAAATGTTACACTAGGCATTTGTGAATATATATAATTTTTTAATGTTTATGGAGATAGTAATGTTAATTACCCTGATTTGATCGTATACTGTATTAGATTATCACAGTGCATTGTATGAATTTGTACAGTTAAAATAATTTATTAAGGGGCTGAAGAGATACCCCAGCAGTTAAGAGTACTGGCTGATCTTCCAGAGGACCCAGTTCAATTCCCAGCACCCACATAGCAACTCACAACTGTCTGTAATGCCAGCGCCAGGGGATCTGGCACCTTCACACAGACATACATGCAGGCCAAACACCAATGTACATAAAATGATTTTTAAAGCTTCATTTTACTTTAAACCACAGAAGTTTATATACCCAGACACCTACAGCTGCCTCTGGTAAGTGCATGCTTCTCCCAGACCTTTTCTTTCATCGTTTTGCTGAGAGGCAGTCAGGTGAATTTGTCCCCTCCCCTCAGAAGCTGTAGCGACCTACTGCACCGAATGAAGGAGCTCAGCAGGTACATGAGCAGCTTCGACAGTGAAGCTCACGCCAACTATAAGAACCAGGTGCTCTACTCCACGATGCTGGTCTTCTTCAAGAGTGCGTTCCAGTACATCAGCAGCATACAGCCATCTCTCTTCCAAGGTTAGCGCACATAGTCTTGTATAAAACTCAGATTATTAGTTTAGTGTGGATAAAAAGGAGACAAAAGTATTTTATAATATTCAACTTTCACCATTGCTGTGGGATTAAAAAGTTATAGGGTGGTACCAGGGCGCTTTGTCATTGATAATTTAATTTGGTTTGGATTGGTTAAGTTTTTATGTGACTATTTCTCACTAGGAACTCCTGTATTAAGACCTATAGTTGTCATACAAAATTAAATAGGGATACTGAATGCCTCTGTTTGAAAAGGAAGTCAACACTTTGGAGGATGAGAAGGGAGGCTAAGGAGTTCAGTCAGGAACAGCCTTGGCTACATGTTAAGTTTGAGACCAGGCCTGGGATACACATGAGACCCTCTCTCAAAAAAACCAGAAACACAAAATCAAGGGAAAAATCCGAAAGTGTAGATTTTATGAAGACAGCACAATAGACAAAGATTTAAATAAGCTCTGTGTTATATGCATTGCGTGCTGACTTAGGGTTTTCATATGTTCTGCTTTTGTTTGAAGCATGTAGTGTTCATGATCATGTTATATCTCGTGGTCATTGTTTAAACACTTACAGATACATAAGAACAAATGCAAAGGAACAGTTGTCCATTTTCAACACTGAAAGGGTGGCTTTATAAACGATTCAGTAGATCTTCATCTGGCCATTCTCCCTGTGTGTGTATATGCTGTTGTTTACCTAGTCAGGGTCACGCTGGGCATGCATTTTATGAACTTTATTTTCGTGTGACACTGTACCTACCTCCTGCTCATATTCACTACTCTTTCTCTTACTTCATTTTTAATGTTCATGTGTCCTTCTTTGTGTAGGTCCTAACGCCCCAAGCCAGGTTCCACTAGTTCTTCTGGAAGATGTAGCCAATGTGTATGGTGATGTCGAAATTGATCGCAGTAAACACATACACAAGAAGAGGAAACTAGCTGAGGGAAGAGAAAAAACCATGGTAACCCTTTCCACTTAATTACTGACAGATTGTGTATGTCATTTACCAGAGATGAATCTTTGTAAAATGTGATTTTAGAGCTAAAATAGTAAAACTTATTAGGTGACAGTATAATAAAGTATAAGTTAGTTGCCTTCAGTGGGGGCAGCTTTGCACCCTTCTTTCTCCCTGGTTCATTTGATGGTGTCTGGGGACATTTTTATTGTCACAGCTGTGGTTCTGTGAGCAGGGATTGATAATTGCCATCTGGTGGGTAGAGGCCAGGACAGGGCCAAACATCATACACCATACAGAACAGCCGAGCAGCCCAGGAGTGTCAAGGTCTATGAACCCTGTTTTGAGTTCCTTAACCATGTTTTGACTGATTGGTATTGAATAAATTTACAAAACCACCTGGAAACTGTTGGCTGGAGTAGGATGCTGTGATGGATGTTGGCCTCAGGATGGAAAGGGCAGCCTGGTCACCCCACAAGATACAGGAAGGCTTTCGTCAAGCTTTAGAAGAGGTCTCCGCTCAGCCCCACTGAAGAGCTCATATCCTCTGCCTAGGAGCTGACCAACTGGTGGTCCTCTCCTCTTAGACGCACACGTGTGTGTTCCCTCCAGTTATGACTGCTCCATCAGAGCCTCCTCTCAGAGCTTCAGTGTCCATGTGTGTTTCAAGATGGAGTTCTCAAACTTTTGCAAGCTGTTGGGAATGCCATACTGTCTTCCCCGAAAATTGGAGTTCTTTGATACATGTCTGACCTAAATTGGAAGCAGAACTGTTTTCCATAAGTTGCAACACTAATGAACTCGCCATTTACAACAGTAAATAGGGTATTAGTTCACCACTGCTTGCTATGAACCAGAACTCTGATAAACTAGGATGTCCAGCGGATTGTGTGTGTGTCGCTCCTGAAGTGGCTGAGTGTGGTAGGGTAGATTCTCCAGGTACAAGAGGCTGCAGGAGGTCTGAAGGCAGGAAGGAAGGCTGGTAGAAAGGAGGCGCCTGGGTCTGAAGAGATGGCGCAGTGGTTAATAGCACTTGCTGCTCTTCGAGAGGACCCGAGTTCAGTTCCCACCACCCACATCAGGAGAACATCTGTAACTCTAGCCCTGGGGAACTCAACAGTTCTGTCACCTGAGAGCACCTGTACCCACTGGCACATATACATAATTATACACTTGTACATAATTAAAAATAGTGAAAATCTTTATGTATTTAATTTTAAAGAAAGGAGGCATCCAAGGCAGAGTGTCCTGTGAGATCAGTGCGGGGGTGAAATGCTTCACTGAAACCTCTGAGCACACTCCAGTGACCCCAGTGTGGTGAAAGTGAGGGGCGATTTCACCGGGGCTAGTGACATGGCAGAATGATGGTTAGTGACCTGTTTGACCTTGACTGTTTGGCAGCATCTCTAGACATGCCCAGTGACATACACAGCAGTGGCCTTTCTCTGCAGCTCTCGTTGGCTGTGTATGACATGAAGGGAAGAGTAGAAGTCTGTACTGTGAAACACGGAGGGCATTCCAGATCACACCTCAGCAGCAGAGCTGAAGGTGGGGTGGGTGTGGCCCCGGACAGGTGCATACAGAACAAAAGGGGCACTCACGGGGGGCAGCTGCTTCTGTGTCTTAGGGGCCTCGGACTTGTGTTTATCTACTGTGTGGCAGACTGCTGTGAGGAACCAAAGTAATGAATGTCACATAGTAAGGAAATGAGAAACCAAAGTGAGTGCATCTCACACAATATCTCTCAGTGTAAAAATCTGTTTTGATTTGACTTTGATTAAAATGATGTGTTTTGAACTTGTAAGAAACCAGCAAACTTAATTTTAAAGGTACAGATTGACAACATGAGAATGTCAAGATGAAAATCATATATTGATCAATGTTAAATAGGAAAAGCTGTGTCCATATAATATTCTTTGATATAAAAGCTATAGGAGACAGAGTTCTTCTATAGAAGACAATGACTGAGTGCTTCAGTCCGTGATGGCATTTATCACCTTCAATGAATCATGCTTTTCCCATCCCTCAAGCAGAGTTCAGACGATGAAGAATGTTCAGCAAAAGGAAGGAATCGGCACATTGTGGTCAGTAAAGCTGAGCTCAGCAACTCCATCGAAGTGCTGGAGAGCTTCAAACTGGCCAGGGAGAGCTGGGAGTTGCTCTATTCCCTGGAATTCCTTGACAAAGGTGAGCATGTGCTCGTCGTCGTTGACACTGTTTAATCATGTAAAATCAACTCTGAAAGATCAGTGTGGTCTTTGAAATGTCAGCTCTCGTGGCTTATTGAATCAGGTCGAGCCATCACGCGTTTTATAGGATTCTCTTGTGATGAGGAAGCCTATCAATTAACCATTCATCTCTGAGTTGCTCCTAGACCGTCAGTGTTGGGGCAGTGTGGGAAGGATGCCGCTTGCTCTTTCTCATGTGTGTGTACTGCCCCTTTCTTGTTCTTACCCTTTCTCCTTTCCTCAAGCTGCCTGTGTTCTGCAATAGGCAGTGTGGCTTTTGTCTGCCACCAACTCTGTTGCCCTGGAAATGGAGAAGGCCTCTTTTCTTTTTTGAGACAGGATCTCAATATGTAGCTTTGGCTGGCCTGGAACTTGCTGTGTAGACCAGGCTGGCCTGGAACTCAGAGACCCTCCCGAGTCTGCCTCCCAAGTGCTGGGATCAGAAGTGTGCATCACCTCGCCCACACCTGGCTGCTCCCTTTTGAATGAAGACATAAATGATTCATGCGCCTGCTTTCTAGAACTCACTCCCTCTTGCTAACCAATCATTTTTGCTTTCCTGTGGAATCAGGGCCCATTCGTTTCCTGTTAGGCAGTGAGCGTGCATCCTTTGACCTCCTATCACATGGCCAGACAGCCCCGGGTCAGGTGTGCTGTATTATCTTTTCTAAGGGAGTGTAGCCTCAGTTTCTTTTGTTGTATTTATTGTGGATATGTATGGGACTATTTTGGAAGAAATTTTCTTGAGTCATAAATCGACCTTTTTAAAAACAGTAAATGGGCAGCTGGGACAACGTAAGACCTTGTCTTAAAAAACGAGACAAGATACATGGAGTAACTCATGGAAAGTGTAGTTCTTGGCATATAATATATGCTTTTACTTTTACGGTGTATAAAAATCCTTCTCGTGGGCTGGTGGGATGGCTCAGTGAGGAAAGGCACTTGCCCACAGGCCTGATGACCTGGGACTCTTGCTGGGTTGTGCTTTGACCTCCGCACCTGCACCATGGGGCAATCGTACCTAAAATAAATAAACTGTGAAAAAAGAATCCTCACATATCAGTGATGAGCATCCCTGGCTTTACTACCTACCAGAAAGCCTAGCGCCTCGGCGAAGGTCACCTTCCATCTCTCTTTAATGTGTGTGTTTTTCCCTTCGTTGCCTCTGTGTTCACCAGTTTGGAGTGAATTTACTTTCACATTCTCACACAGAATTTACAAGAATTTGTTTGGCTTGGAAGACGGACACATGGCTGTGGCTAAGAATCTTCCTCACAGATATGATCATCTACCAGGTACTGTGACAGGCATTTCCAGCTGCTGTGTCTGTGCAGGGTGGGATTGTTGCAAACTGGTCTTAGCATAAGAAGTGTTGTGCTCCGTGGGGGCTAGTCCACTGCCTATCCACATCTTGGAGTATTCTGTGGTTGTGAGATTAAGGTCCACTTTCATCCCCAAGTGTCTCACTTTCTTGGTGACTTTCAGTGTGTCCAGTCATGTTCCTGCTTTTCCCTGTGTATAGAAGTAAAACCCCACACACCCCTATTTATCTCTGCCCTCTTGCACATTAAAGATAGCATAAATACGTCTCAGTTTTCTTAATTAATATTTTCCACTTAAAGTTACAATACAGAATATTAGGTTTCCTAGGGCATTTCAATATAATTTGCTTTGGTTGATCCTCCACATCCACCAGCCCCCTTTTGTGCTCTCCCACCTCCAGCAGTCTCTGCCTCTGTCATCATAAAAGCCTGTTACCCTCCCTTCCCCAACTCTCCTTTTCTTCCTCACTTGTGGTCCCCTTTCTCGTCTGCCTACAGTTGTACCCATGTAGAAACATTCGAGCTCGGATCCACATGTGAGAGAGCGTGTAGTGTCTGTCTGGCTGAGTAGGGGCTGCCTACAACAGCAGCATTCCTTCAGTAGAATGAAGACCTTCTGGAGCCTCCTTCCCTCTGCTCCGCTGCCCTCCAGCATGCGCACTGTTCTGTAGCTGCCAGAATGGGAGAGCAGACAGTTGCTACCAAGATGCGGACAGGGACAGCGGGCTGCTTCTGTCCTTCACAAGTACCGAGCTGGTTCTATAGAAATGGGATATCTAAAGTGTCAGAGATTCTGTGCTGTGTATGTGTGTGTGTGTATTTTAATGTCGATCTTTTCCATCTTTGCCTTTGTGTCTTTCCAAGGGTCAATATAAGAAGGCAATAGCCAGTCTGCATCACTTAGCAGCTCTCCAAGGATCCCTTTCTCAGCCACAGATCACAGGACAGGGGACGTTAGAACACCAGAGGGCGCTCATCCAGCTGGCAACCTGTCACTTTGCACTGGGGGAGTATAGAGTGAGTACTGGGTTTGCACTGGGGGAGTATAGAGTGAGTACTGGGTTTGCACTGGGGGAGTATAGAGTGAGTACTGGGTTTGCACTGGGGGAGTATAGAGTGAGTACTGGGTTTGCACTGGGGGCGTATAGAGTGAGTACTGGGTTTGCACTGGGGGCGTATAGAGTGAGTACTGGGTTTGTACTGGGGTCGTATAGCGTGAGTACTGGGTTTGCACTGGGGGCGTATAGAGTGAGTACTGGGTTTGCACTGGGGGCGTATAGAGTGAGTACTGGGTTTGTACTGGGGTCGTATAGCGTGAGTACTGGGTTTGCACTGGGGGCGTATAGAGTGAGTACTGGGTTTGTACTGGGGTCGTATAGAGTGAGTACTGGGTTTGCACTGGGGGCGTATAGAGTGAGTACTGGGTTTGCACTGGGGGCGTATAGAGTGAGTACTGGGTTTGTACTGGGGGCGTATAGAGTGAGTGCTAGGTGGTTCACGTGCATTCTCGAAGGCTGCATGGCACCCTGGGATGTCTTTTTCCTGTAGTGATTTTTCAAGTCAATGCACGCTTCCTTGATTGACCGTACCACTTGGATCTGTTACTTAATTTGCTGCTGAAAAACACAATGATCTTGTTTTACTTAATGTTTCTGTAGTGTAACTTCCCTGAAATTAGGCGTCAGTACTATTTCCTTATTCTTCTCTTTTTTGAGACAAGGTCTCATGTATCCCAGACTGTCTTTGAATTTGCTGTGTGGTTTGAGATAGGCACTGTGTATGTTTATTAGTGTATACAAATTCGGGGTATTTTCTCACAGTGAAGAATAGGTTGTTGTTCCTTCTTTCTCATCGACTTCATCTGACCGTGCCTTTCCCTGTGGTCACTGTTGAGTGCTCAGCGATGGTCACAGGAATACAGCCCTCTATGCACACACACTGTCTGCTTCTCCGCTGTAGACGGCTGCCGTTCAGAGCTTCACGTTAGTCCTGTGGTCTTCTCTCCCGTAGATGACATGTGAGAAGGTTCTGGACCTGATGTGCTACATGGTGCTACCCATACAAGATGGAGGGAAATCGCAGGAAGAGCCCTCCAAAGTGAAGCCCAAGTTTAGAAAAGGTACCATGAAGTCTTGTTCTTTGTCACAGGCGTTTTAGGACCTGTGGCTAAGATGTCACAGTTCCTAGTGAGGTCATGCCACTGTGCGCTGTGGAAAACTACTCCCTCTCCAGGCTGTGTTCCTAAGTCAATCTGCATCTTTTCCAAACCCTGAGTTCCACTTCATGAGTTTGTTGTCTCTGAAGAGCATCTTCCCTGTTTTGCCTAGCACTAGGGAAACAAGGGACTAATCAGCATGACCCCATGTCACCCTATTCCCCTGGGGCCATTTTGAGCTTCACCTGATTCCACATTGCTTGGAAAAACTAATGCATAGCGAGTAATCTAAATTTCCACCTAAGATTTAGAAATAGATATGCAAATTAAATATGAAGCAAGCTAGTGGGAGAGAACTAAGAATAATTAGAGCAGAATGAACACAGTAGGGAAAATGAGTAAAAGTCAAAGGTTATTTCTGTGAAAATATGCATGAAATGGACGAAATCCTAATGAACCTGATCTCGAACGCGGTGGCCACAAATTTCAAGATCAGGAATGAAAAGGTAACACCACAACAAATCTTGGTTACGTCAGAAGGGCAATAAGAGAACAACTTTATGTCAAGAAGTTTTAAAAATTAGATGCAGTGGGAAAATTTTCGATAAGCACAACTTTTAAAAAAAGACAAAATGAAATAGAAATCTTTTATTATAACAAAAGGACATTAAATTTGGTATAAAAAAAAAAGGCAAAAACAGGCACAGACTGCAGAAAGCGCAGTTGTTGAGCAGTGGTCCTGAGTGAGGGCGAAGGAGCACACCATTGCTGTGCTTCTGAAAGTGAGTAAATGCTAGAAGTCAGCATTATCAGGAAGAGCGAGCACCCCATTGCCCGGCCGTGCCTCCTCCCGAGCCACTGCCTTTCCAGACTGGGCCTTTGCCCACTGGGTCCTGACTTCCAAACAGAAATGTTCTTTTTGATGGAATGGAATATTCTAGTACTTAAGGTACGAAGGATAGATACTGAAAGTAAACGAACGTTTCATTTTAGATGTACAATGTGTTAAGGGGGATCCGTATAGAAAGGCATTGATTTCTTGCTACTTCTTACCTCTGCCGAGAGGAATATTTAAGATACAAAGAGCACAGGCCATGAGGAAAAACATTGACATCTTAGTTTGGAAGTCATTGCTTAAAGTTTTTCCTACAAGTACACATGAAGTCATGTGTAAACATGTTTGATAAAACATTGTTTAAAGTGAAAAATCAGAAATCTCATGAACCAGCTTTTGTGTGTGCTTATGTATGCATGTGTATGTGTGTGTGTGTGTGTGTAAACAATAGAATACCATGTAATCTTGGAAATTCCTTGTCTAGCGCTTCATGTATTTTTGACAAACCTGAAACTCAGAAGGTGGAGTACACAAGTCAGTTAGCAGAAGATACATCCGTTATGGCACCATTTGACATAGTAGACTGAAAGCATGCCGAACATTTCTGTGTGGTGTCTGTAAATACAAACAGCTGTGGCAGTAGCCTGCAGACTGCACAGGAGTGACCATCACCACGCTCAGAATTGTGTCTGTCCGGGGCAGGAAAAGAGGATGACATCAGGACGCTATAAGGATCTTCTACTGGTTTTGTGATAATTTGTGTTAAAATCTTTAAAAATTAAAACCAGATGTTAGCATTTTCTAAAACTGAGGGACAGGGCTGGAGAGATGGCTCAGCGTCTTGCAGATGATCTGGGTTAGGTTCCCAACACCCACATAGCAGCTTATAATCATCTGTAACTCTAGCTCCAGGGGATCTAAGACCCTCTTACCTCTACAGGTGCTGCACATGTGATGCCCATGTGTACATACAGGCTAGCTATGTATACACACACACAAGCTGAGTGACAAGCACATTGGGTTTGTGAGATTCCCTCTATGTAATATTCTACATACTTGAAATATTGTATAATAATTATTTAGTAGGGTAGGAAAGAAAATTGAGAAATGAAATCTAGAGACCAAAAACCAGAGTCCTCATCACCAATATAATTGTCTGCTGGGTCACGATTTCTGTAACTTGTTTATCTTCCTGAGGAAGCAAGTGAAACATTTGTTTGTCAAAGCTGTTCTCGTTGATGGTAACAGTCACTAACAGTCTGGCCTTCTGTTAGGTTTGGATCTGAAGCTTCTGCCCTGTACCAGTAAGGCTATTATGCCGTACTGCCTGCACTTGATGCTAGCATGCTTTAAGGTGAGCTTAAAATGGGAGCAGCAGGAAGCACATTCCCTCTGAAATATGTCCTGATGAGATGGCATGACTTAAGAGCTTTGCTCACAACTGTTTTGTAATTTACCAGGCAGGTGGGAAAATTTTTTTTTTTTTTTTTTTTTTTTTTTTTGGTTTTTCGAGACAGGGTTTCTCTGTGTAGCTTTGCGCCTTTCCTGGAACTCGCTTTGGAGACCAGGCTGGCCTCGAACTCACAGAGATCTGCCTGGCTCTGCCTCCCGAGTGCTGGGATTAAAGGCGTGCGCCACCACCGCCCGGCTAGGTGGGAAAATTTTGTGGGCTAGGAATTAACAAGTGTTCTTTTGGTTTTGGGTTTTTTATTTTTTTTTTTTTTTGTTTGTTGTTTGTTTGATTGTTCTTTAGTTCAACTGCACTAGGCAAAGGTGAATAGAAAATAAGACCCATCCTTGAGAAGGATATGGGTAGTAAGTAGTAGGGAGGACAGACAAATTCCCTTGCCTGTTACGGCTGGTATACAGTAAAAAGTTTTTGACATCGTGTAAATCAGAATGTATTAGCTACAGAAGAAGGCAAAATAAATATTGGGGTCGTAAATGTATGAGGAATTAATTCTTTTAGACATGAGGGTCAGCACCAGCAAAGGCCCAGTAGCACGGGGAAGCTTCCGAGACTCTTGAAGACACCGCAAGCCTTGGCTGCAGTGGAGTCGAGCCCTGGGGTGGGCTTGTCGCTGTTTCATAGGCTTGTGTGCAACAGGTAACTGTGCTGGGTTCCGCTTTATGCAATGGTCCCACACTAACCTGAGCGCTAGAGCTGCTGGCATCGAAGAAGCCATCTGAAGTGTGGTTTTATGCAGCTGTCCTAGCAAACAGACCTTTAGCCTTTCCTGTAGTTCACACCTATTGCTTGCTGTCTTTCCTTCCCAGCACCATCTTCTCAAGCCCCTCTGTTACAGCTTCTTGCCCATCTTTCTACTCACAGTTGTTTCCTAAAAGATATCACTAATAGGGTTAGAATATGGCTCAGTTGGTAGGGTGCTTACCCAGCACCCACGAGCCCTGGGTTCAATTCCCAGGATGGCATAAACTGGACATGGTGATACATACCTATAATCCCAGCACTTGGGAGGTAGGGGTAGGAAGATCAGAAGATCAAGAATATCCTCAGCTATCTAACAAATGTAGGGCCAACCTATGATTCATGAGACCCTGTCTCTGATGAATAGAACAGAAAAAGAATAAAATAACAAGAAGTACCTATTTATTCTCTTCATTGTGTAGGAATACTCAACTTTATCCCTCATTCTCAAACTCAAAAACTCCCAGCTCACCTATTCTTGTCCAGCTCTGGTTTAAAGACTTGTCAGCCTCATGTGCCGAGCCCTCAGAGGGAACCTGGGGCTTCCTTAGAATCCACCCTCCTTAGAAGGGTATGGTGTTCACCAACAGTTCTGTTGTCTTAATAATAAAGATTTATAGAATATACTGACATGTGGAGCCCCTCTTTGGAAGTGATAGTTGGTATGCCCTAGATTTCCTAGATTTATTTCTTGTATATAAAATTTTCTCTTACAGCTGAGGGCTTTTACGGACAACAGAGATGACATGGCGTTGGGCCACGTGATTGTACTTCTCCAGCAGGAGTGGCCGCGGGGGGAGAGTCTTTTCCTGAAAGCCATCAGTAAGATTTGCCAGCAAGGAAATTTCCAGTATGAGAACTTCTTCAGCTATGTTACAAGTATCCTTTCTCTGGATGAAGCACAACCCCTTCTGAAGGTTTAGCACGAGTGCATCCTACAGGATGAACCATTCTCAGTAGAGATACTGCTTTTCCTGTTTGTGGGGAAAGGAGAAGGACTGAGCACTAGAAATGGAGCTGTGGCAGTTGCTTTGTGAAAGTCAGTGACGTTTCAAAGAGTTCAAGGAATCAGGGCTGTCGTTCACTTCTAGCTGACTTCCAAGAAGGCAGCCTAGAAGCTTCCAGTTAGAATAGCCTACAAGTTCTTGCCAAGCCTAGAGCAGTTGGTTCAGCACAGACTACCATAGTTTCTTGGCCTTTGTCTATGGAAAGAGTGTCCCCTGTGGCCTCTCCTTGGACAGAGGCTGCCCCTGGGGTCAGTTCTTAGCGCTGGGCCTGTGCCATCAGGTTATGCTAATGAGGTTAGCTGCCAGAGGTTATGCTAAGGAGGCAGGGGTGCTTTGTGAGATGGGCAGCACCTGACTTCACATGTTTGTAAGGGGCAGACCACCTTTGAATTGAGGGTGCACCCCAGTTTGGTGGCTTTCATTTCATTGCCTCTCATAATACATCCTCTCAGTTTTCAGGGTACATGTACTATATATATCCCAGTGCCTGAGCAGTGGTTTTTTTTTTTAAGGTTAATGAAAGTTATAAAACTTTCCCCCAGAAGGATGCATCATCTACATTTCATATGGAATTTTCTGAGTTCTCAGACACTACCTTTCTTGAAGCATCTGCAAGACCTTGTGTGCTGGGTCTGAAGAAATAATCTTTCTTTTTATGACTCATGTCCTGTCAGCCAGACCATCCTCCCCACTCCTACTATCTCTGATTTTTTACTAAGAAATTTCTCTTACGGCCATGTAGAATCTGTTTAACTATCTCCGTAGGAAAATCATGTGCTAATGCTTTTCAGTCTGATGGGCCTGGAGATTGATGCCACTGAGTTACACAGCCAGCCCCGCTGTGTAACTGTCGGAACTCATGCAAAGAGTTCTTTTTACAGGGCAGGTTGGTTAATGTAAAGATCAGTACCTGGTTCCAGAACTGACTGGTTGTTAGTTGGAGGGCAATAATAGGCAGGTCCTTCATCTGCTGAGAGCCTGTTTCCTCACCTGGGAGAACAGGGCAACTTGTTACATGTTGGTTGACCTGAATGTGGCCGAAGACATTGATATGCTGGAGGAATTTGCTTATTTAAGAACCCAGGAAGGAGGGAAGATTCACCTGGAATTACTCCCAAATCAAGGAATGCTGATCAAGTAAGCAGATGTTCTTTTGTTGCTTGAAGCTGTATGCTCCCCTTTCATGTGCTTGCATGATTTATTTGTAAATTTCTGTACCTTTCAGAAATTTAATGGAAAGGAATCCAAACCTGGTCTCTGTTTTAGAAGGGCTGCTTGATTCGAGGTGTCTTTTAAAAGCTTAGCTACATTTCTTAGCTACATTTCTGGAAAAAAAATGTTGCTACAATTGGGATATTTTTGTTACTTTTGAAATCCTTTATTAGAGAATTTTCTATATGCTTTTTCCTTTCCAAAATTTAATATTCATTTCTGGTTAGGCATAAAGAGATTTTAATTGAAAGCAGCCATGCTTAACATTGTACTGGATTGGGGGAACGTACAGGTTTTATTTAGAACTCTGTCTTAAAACCTTCTAAGCTTCATCGTGGCTTATGTAGCACAAAGTGAATTAGCTGGTTCTAGTGCCTCTAAAACACACCTGCCCCCCAAAATGATTGTGGGCGTGCTTGGTCCCGGGTGTGCCCCTAGCCCGTAGGACACTACAGAAACCCCAGGTTGTCTCAAGTGGAAGTACCAAGTTAGCGACCATTCATGATTTTTAAATAGCTCATAAATCTTGCTTCTATCCTCAGTCCTCATTGCAGTTTGGTTCATGGAGCCTCTCTCCTGTGAGTGCCATGTGCAGTTTGTACACTTCCTTCTTCGCTTCCTGCATAGTCAGTGTGTCTGTAAGTCAGTGTCAGAGTTAGGCCAAGAGACTGAACCCAGAGCAGGAAGAATGCATTGCTGAGACTGGAAATCTTCTCGGTCATCCCTCAGTTTTGGCAGAAGCAAGTTTTTTAGGTTTTAAAAGCCATAGATAGCCCTTACTTTGCTCTGCCTTTGTAGACTCCTAAGGGTGTTGGAGGAGTGAGGTAAGAAATGCTTATATTGGATTTCTGTAGCTCAGGAATTTGGCCCATGGTGAGCATTCCTTCCTTATTATGACTTAGCAAGAGTAGGGCCCAGTAGAATCTGCCCTAAAGAACACAAGATCCCCTCCCTATCTTCTAAGTGATATTGCTTGTCTTAGACATTTCCAATAAGGAACTGAGGTGGTGTTTAGGAGCATCAGAGGCCCTTTGTAGACTGCTCAATCAGGATGTCCTAGACACTGTCCTCTCCACTTCTCCATCGACTACTTTGACTATGAACCAAAGTCATGGAGAATAGTAACTACATGCTTCCAAGTGTGGTTAACCATGTGTGAGAATAGATTGCTTCTATATATGGAAACCCATGTAAACCGTTTTCGATAGGGCCATCTGGGTCCCAAAATTGATTATACAAACATATCTTTAAGAAAGCTTTTTAGTTCATTAAAAGCTGACCATTCAAGTTGTCATAATATATATGGTCTTAGAGGCAAACTCTTTCAACAGAGGGATCAATCTGCAGAGGATTGCCACATGACTTACAGAATGCTTAGCTGTCTGTGGCAGTATAAGGAATGCATCTACAGTCCTCAGCAGTTGAATCTCTGGTTTCAGTGTAACTAGGCCTTTCTTCTTTGTCCATATTTTCTTAACTTGAATAGTGTTAACTTGCTCATGGTCCCTAGGACTTGGAATTTAAAATGAGGACCTATCACTTGCCCAGATAATGGCACTGGAAGAGGTTGCTTGTCCAAGGAGGCATCCGTCCTGCTTTCCAGGGCTCTCCCACCTTGATCAACCTAACTTGAACTTCCTTGAACTTTCTGTAGAAGATAAGCCTCCTAAAAAACCATGGTTGATTCAGCTTGGAAAAAGTATTAGGGATTGTTAACTAGTGACCTGACCTTGTAGGAATGTTCTCTGTGAGGGTCTCACCATGGATTTGAATCTGTATTTCAGATAACCTCTATCTAAATGACGCCAAGAGAATCAAACTGCGTAAGACAGAGATTTGACTGACTGAGGTGTGATTAGACTCTTGAATAAAACTATCTATATTCCTTTTCCCTTTGGGTTCCAAACAAATTCTCTGAAGCCATTGCAGACCTTTTGGGTGGTCCCTCCAGAGGAGTGGCAGAGATGTTGGGAGCAGTGTGCCTCTCCTCCCCTGGGGTAAGGTTGTGAGACCGTCCTAGCTGTACCATCTCGGATGCGAGCAGGTACAGTACAGCACGGCACCTGGTGCCAGGCCAGAAGGAGACAGAGGTCTTCGCTGTTCGCTAGATATGTTGTTCTGACGTGTGTTCATTAGAGAACTGTTTCCATGCTGATAGCCGCAGAACCATAGTCGCACTAGACTGGATCAAAATGGAAAAAAATCTCTGGGCATTACCAGCTAACATACTAAATCTTCATTACAGAGTTCTGCAAAACCATGGCTCCCAGCCTTGTTTTCCCCAAAGTCTCAAACACCCTTTCTTTATCGAAAACATTGCCAGCCCTTCTGAGTCCTCTTTGAAGGGCCTCTCAGTTTGGGGCTTCAGTCCTGCTAAGGCGGCTAGCCAGTGTCCCCAGGTGTGCTTCTGGGACCGGCGTGGGCAGGAGAAGAGTGAGTGAAGCAGGCTGGATTTTGAGTCCTATCTTCTCAGATGTTACCCCTCCCCACTACCATCTCATCTCCATCTTCCTCACTGATGCCTTTATACTCCAAATCACAAGTGGGAAGAGCTCTGGGACCAGGAGCCAAGATGCCTCTAGACTGGCACCAGCAGCGGGTGCGGTGGGGCCCTCAGCTTCTCCCAGTCCCCCTGAAGACACAGCACGGCCAGGGGCTTGTGGAGGTCCAAGTTTCTGTACAGTCCGCTTTCCAGTCTTGTGTATCCTCTCCGGAGTGTTGTTTTTGCAGTGCAGGGTGAGCTGGTGTGGGTGTTTGAATGCTGCTGTTTGCTGTTTTTTAAAGGCCTTCTAGCCCTCCCATGGGGTTACTGCAGCAGGAATTCTTACCTGTGCTTCAGCCCAGCATACAGACTGCTGACAGGTACCAAGTGGAAAAACACCTGCTCATAGTGTGCTGTTTGTCAACATGCTTTCCCGCCCATGGTTTTCAGCTCGTTGTCCCTCGGTGCTCTTTTTCATGCTTTATTTATTTGTTTTTAATTTGTTCTGCATTCCTTGGCAAACCATCTGGTTGTAAATACTGTAACATTTTTAATTTTTTCCATGAGTTGCCAGTGTGTTTGTGTCGAATTTAAAAATCATTATGGATCTGGGGGGAAGAAACAAGTTTGCTAAAACTGAATTAGACTAAGTGAATGTTAGAGGAAGTGCTAAGCTGCGATTCTTTTGGGATAAAATTCAGGGTTTGGGGTCATGAATATTTAAATACGTTGACATACATGTACCACAAGTAAACTTTTATTGTGGATTTCCATATTAATGATCAGGACATTTTTGCTCTAAACAGACATTCACACAGTTTTCCCTGCCTTAAAGCAGGCTGCTTAGTTTCAGACCTTACCTTCTGAATTGGCAATATTTAATGAGCTAAAATGATGCCATTTTATTTAGCTAGATTCTCCTGTTCTTAAACCACAAGAGCTATCTGCAGTCATGTACCACTTACACCAGGGACACACATGTCATGCACTGTGCTATTGCATGGACATCATAGTGTGCATTTACTCAAACCTATCTGCTACGTACCCAGGCTGTAGGGGACCAGTGCAGTCCGTCATTGCGTGTGGAGCATGACTGTCATTGACATCATCCAGACCTGCGTAGAGGGACTCTGATGCATATATAATTGAGTTGTGCATCTGTGAATGTACAGAAACAATCCTCTGGCAAGCAGAGTATAACATTTAACTGTCTTTAGTAGTATTAGGGGAGAATTTGTCCTCTGAAATATGGCCTGCAGTTGCATGTAACTTGTACTTGGTCCAGTCTTGGGTTGCAGCCCGGGAACCCAGAATAGCAGTATCTCAAGTCAACATAAAGCAGTGTGCATCTATCTGTGCCCAGCAGCACCCAGCCCGTCAGCCTTACTGACACCTAACTGAATTAACCAGCCAGACTTAAAGCGTCCACGCAGAACTGTGTTTTCTCAGGTCCCTGCTGGCTTCCTACAGCCTTTTACAGTGGCTGTGGGCTGTTGCACACTGTTCTGTGTTCATTAGTCCAAAAGAAGATGTCACATGACATCTTTTACTACTGCACTGCAGTGTGGTGACTCCTGATCACTTTCTACATAATAATGTGTGTTAGAAACAGAAGCATTTAGGGTGATAGTCACAGCCTCTGTTTTCTCACTACATGAAAACCTTGTGACTTGCAGGAGAGTTAGGGGGTGGGGGTGGGGAACAGAGGTGGGTTTTGTTCATCTAAAACTGTTACATTACCAAACTAGCAGCCAAAACTCCTCTGTTTGTGGTTGAGTCCACTGAGTTTCGCTGGACTTTTCTTTTCCTCTGTTCATTTTGTTGTCCTCACTCTATGGGGTTCTGTTTGTCCTTTCTGTCCTAACGCACGGCTCTTGGGGCCCAGTTAGACACCTCTTGGCTTTTGCTCCCACTAACCCACCCACAGACTAGCAAGCACCTCAACAACTCTACTCTTCTGTGACACAGTTCTGTGTCAGGGTCCCAGGTCCCCCTGCTTTTTCTACAGTAGTCTGGATGGACACAGCACTCATGGGTCTGCCCTGTCCTAGCTCCATGGGGATAGGCCTGACTCAGGACCCCAGCAGTTGTGTGGAAGCCTGAGCTTTTCTGGACCAAGGCCCTGCCAGAGAGCTCCTTGGTGGCTAGGACATGCTGGGTCCCTCTTCCTACTGTTGCCTCTCTGTGGTCTGTGGCCTGGTCTCCAGCACGGTGAGGCTAGTCAGGATGGAACCTAAAGCAACCCGGGGCACTGAATTGTGTGAGCTTCAGGAGTTCAGAGGTGAAGCAGGTGACATTTCACTGACCATTGGCTGTGTAAAATGACCTAGTCTAGGGCAGGAAAGATATCTGCGTAGTGTTGAGACCGAGAAGAATGGACAGGAGTGGTTATCTGGTTGCAGCTCTTCTTTTTAAATGTGGTTTAAATGTGTGACTACACTTAGCTGTGAGGCAGGTTGATTCCTACCCAGGTAACAGTAGGCCATGCTGCTGCTTCTAACCGGGGTCTCTCTCTGTTTCCCTGTCGCTGACCTCAGGCACCACACAGTCACTCGCGGCATCACCAAAGGCGTGAAGGAGGACTTCCGCCTGGCCATGGAGCGCCAGGTCTCCCGCTGTGGTGAGAACCTGATGGTGGTCCTGCATCGCTTCTGCATTAATGAGAAGATCTTGCTCCTTCAGACCCTGACCTGAGAGACCTTTGGCCGCCCTCAGCTCAGCTGTGTGACCCGAAGACACAGCTGTGACAAGTGCTGCCTGACCAGGACTGATGAAGAAGGAAAACACCAAGTTCTAACTTCCTGGGTTGCTTAGAAGTCTATCTCAAGGGTGTGGGAAATTAGTTCTATTTTTAAGAGTTCAGGTTTTTTAATTTGTATAAAACAAGAATCAATCCATTTTGTAAATAAAAAATCCTAAAATTTGAAGTTTAAAAAAAACTTTTTTCTAGTTTCAAGTAGGGTACATTTGTCTTCTATTTTTCTAAGCATACAGCAAGGGGGCAGAAATCCACTACAACTGAATGGAGGAATGCATTTTATTATATACACAACGGACGATGTCTCCCATGACCACAGGTGTGTTTTCATTGCTACACTTGGGTAAGTGTTACATACAAGATAACATTTGACCTTTCGTTTTATGCAAAACTGAACTCGAGCCTGTCCGGTGCCTGCTGACAGTCCACTAAAGGTATGGTGCTCCAGAGTCTCTGAAAAGCTAGGCCAGGAAATAGGGGAGAAGAGCAAAGGTGTGGGGCTCTGCTGAGGCCTCAGGAAGTCATTGTGGCCCAGTGGGCCCTCCTGGCCCTTCGGAGCCAGACAACACTGCTTGGCAGTCACCTGTACCCCTGCCCTGCCCTGGATGTGCAGACAGAGAGACAGACAGACAGACAGACACACCCCTCATATCCAGAATTACGTTTCCTGGGTGCTGTATAATGCCACAGAGTAGGTGGTTTTACAGGTGTGTTCTTCCTTTCTTTTTTTTTTTTTTTTTTTTGGTTTTCCGAGACAGGGTTTCACCGTGTAGTTTTGGTGCCTGTGCTGGATCTCGCTCTGTAGACCAGGCTGGCCTCGAACTCACAGAGATCCTCCTGGCTCTGCCTCCCGAGTGCTGGGATTAAAGGCATGCGCCACCACTGCCCAGTGCAGGTGTTTTCTAAAAACGACAAGCTACTGAAGCATAAGGGATTTTCTTGCTAAATCAACTATCATGGTTTGAATAGTGTCACCTAAAGATCATTCATTATGTTCACACGGGTTCTAACTCTGTGTTAATTTAGTGTTTCATACAGTTAAAGGTGATTGTTCATAGACTGTCAGTAGAGGTTTCTATTTTTTATTTCATTTAACTATTTCCTGTTGAAAAGCCTTTATGGGTCCCAGCAAGTACCTTTAAAATATAGTAATCTGGGAGAAAAATAAAGTGATTTCGTGATTTGAGTATCATTGTCCATATTCCATTAATAAAAAGAATAAAAAGGAGTGAAAAAATGGATAAAAAAAAAGGACCACAGTCATGCAATAGTTTGTATTTAAAGTTACATTCCTAATGGGGTGCCAAGGTAAGATCTGAGCGACATTTCAGGGTCACCTTGAGCACAGTGGAGAGTCTTTCCTTTTGTCAAGGGGCAACCTCGTGGTAAGTTACCCCTTAGAAAACTGACTGATGAAGAAGGATATGACAGGTCTTTATTTAATCAGAACTCAGTCAACCAGCCAGCTGCCCAGAGACTTGCTTGTCAAGGAAGGTAGCGCCAGGCCTCCAAGAGCCTGAGTTAACTTCTTAGGGCACAGTCAATAACCACATGTTGTGGCCCAGCGTCTGTCCTGGGGTTCTGTTGCCATGCTTTGGAATGCTGCTTAGCCCAGTATGGCAGAAAGTTATGTCATCAATTCAATACAGCATTGACTCCTTAGAGTTCTTGTTTGTTTTCTTGTTAAATTTGGAACTCAAGATAATACTAAACAGAGTACCTCAATGGTTTTAAGCAAAAGTAAAAGGAATAGGGTCTGGATGGCCTTTCCCACAGCCTGGCCCTACTTCCCTTCCAATCTAAGCCCTGAAGTGGCTTTTTGCCTGGAATACACTTCTGTGACTCAGGATGCTGTGAGTGACTCTTTCCCGAGAACTGGAACCTGAGGTAAGGGTCATGCTGGAGCTGAGATCAGTTCACCACAAATTGGGTGAAAATTAACGTTGATAGGCCAAGCTGTAGAAGCGGCTGTTAGCTTTTTTAATGTCTCAGAGTCTCATTGGTCAGCTATTAATTTAATCATAATAAATAGTACTAACATTTGCTAGCTCTATTCTAGGCTTTATGCTGTGTATCTCACATATATTTTTCTCAGGACAAAACTGTGAAGTGGGTTTAATAAGTGGGTGAGGACCTGCGACTTAGGTTCTGTCTCCGCACTGAGGTCACGGGACTTGTGATCTGTGCTTGATTCGTGTTTCTGGTGTGGGAATGAGACCCGGCCATTCTGTTGCCTTCTCTGAGAGCTCCCCATGCTGGTGTTGTGTTGTGCTTTGGGAATAGCTATCTAAAGAGAAGAGGAGAGACTAAGGATGCTGTCTGTACCTACAGAGCTTGACAAGTGGGAGACCACCATTAGATCCCTGAGACTAAAAGCCTGAGTCAATGATATTTAGAGATGAAACATGAAAGAAGAGCGGAGGGAGGTGTTGATGAGGCCTTCCAGAGACAGGACCTGCTAAATAGACCCGGAAAGATGAAGTTGACTTTGTTGGATTGAGAAGTATCAAATCCTGTTGTATGCTCGTAGAAAGAACACATTCAGGTACATAGAGGTTATTATTAGACCCAGAAAGATGAAGTTGACTTTATTGGATTGAGAAGTATCAAATCCTCTTGTATGCTTGTAGAAAGAAGGCATTCAGGCACATAGAGGTATAAT